TCTCCCAAGCTCATTCCATACATATTCCGATGGGTTTTGAGGAAGCCTCTCCATTTTTTTTATGTGAGAAGGTGACAAGTGTACAGGTAGAGTTTATCTGATGTTAAGTGATAATCGCCGCCCATGGACTGCTCTTTTAAAATCTCTTTATCTATTATAAAACTATCAAAGCCCCGCTTTCTGTCACCAATAACTTCGTACGACTCTCTGAAGATATTCCAGCCCACACCATTATCGATCCTCCGACCAATGGCACCTTTTCTTCAAAATACGCTCGCTGATAGCGATCTCCTGGTCTTATGGATACTCTTCGTTCCCGTCGTGTATAAATTAACAAAATCTAGACTAATTGGTAAACATAAACCAAGACCAATTTTCATCTTTCCGTTGGACTTGCTCTCGAAAAAACCATAACTGGATTGCATCTGAAAAGTGTAGGAGCATTTGCTGCCATATAAAGCTTTACTCAGCTTCACTTCATAATAGAATCGTTTCAGAGCATAATAGCACAGTCGTGATGGATCACTAGTATTAAGTATAACATATAATATTGATAAATATTTTAGTATTAGGGACGTATCTATGTACCTAATATCTATGTACCTAATATTCAAAAAATATGATATCAAACAATTAATGCAATTGTGTGGTTGTTCTAATTTTACTATTTATTACATAAAAAAATAAATCAATACGAATTCAGAAAATAACTACAATAGTAAAAAACATTTCTGGACACATCATAATACAACGCTGTTGAGTCCCAAACTAAGAATAAACGTTTTGACGCTCCCGTCGCTTTTACATCGCGTCGGGGCCGTGGTGACACTCTGGAAGTACCGAGGTTTAGATTGGCTAAAACCAGAAAGTCGTTTCTTGGAAGATGCATCAACTTTTATAATAAAATAGGTGACATCCACAAACAACTAAGTATAAACAATTTCAAACAATTTGTAAAAGCTACCTTAATGGCAAGGGCCTACTATAATATCCAAGAATACATTGAGGACAAGGATGTTTAGAAATGACTCGTGCTCTGCACTTGCAAGACCCCTGGCTGCTGCTGATTTTATACCTAAATAAGTGTGTATAATTGCATCAAAAAAAAAAGAACAAAAAGAACAAGACCGTAGAGTTTCTTGCCGGTTCTTCTTTGTGCAGTTCTAGCTTAGTGAACCGGTGGTAGATTTTTTGTTGACGTTCAATAAGAGCTTAAGTTAGACCTATATTGAATAAATATACTTTGACTTTGACTAAGACAAGCTTATACTATGTGTAGTAACTGATAAGCTTAATTAATTTTATTCCATGCTGTTAGTTTGTAATTGACTACATATTATGAGTGTATAAACACTCTAGAAAAATATTATGTTCATCATACAATTTAGGTCTGCTTTTCGCGTTAGCAGTGATCCAACCCACCCTCTGGCTTAAGAGACAGATTTACTATCTATGACACCGTTATGGTGTCAGTAAATAGAAATAGGGTAGTGGACAACCCTATCTGTCACTATCTACACCTTGGGGATTAAATGTTATAGCTTCTGTGTTGCCAAAGGGCTTACTTCGGTCCCAATTCCAATGAGTGGACATCAATTACTCGGGTCGGTCAAATGGAAACAGAAATCATTCGTGTACGAATTGGAGTAATCGTGAAATCGTACCGAAAGGTTTGCTCTCAATTTATATGCGTGCGCGTGAAACTAATCTCCACTGACCCGTTTATTTAATCGGTATTCATCAACGAAATGGCCTATATTTTCAATATATATATCCTTTATATATATTCCTATTTATTTTTTCATTTGAGTAATCTCTATAAAGGCAAAGTCGTCAAAGTTATGTACACAGACAGCACTAGCAATTGCGGCGTAGAGGGCGCTTGCCTTTTATTCATTATTGGTACTCGAGCAACCTGAGTTCGATCCCCGGCACCGATGAAATTGTTTATTTTAAGTACAGACTTATCACGTGCTCTATGGTGAAGGAAACATCATGATGAAGCCTGTATATTTTCGAAATAATAGCAAAAAAAAATATCTCGAAAATGTGTGCAGTCAGCCAACACGCATTGGGGCCGCGTGGTGAACTATGCCCTAAACTCACCCTCTGTACAGAGGATGAGTTTACCCAGTGAGTGAGTGAGACTTATATAGATTGTTACATCACAATTTATTAATAGCAAAGGAATTATGTTAAGCTATCAGCAAGTCATGATGTATGATGTTCGTAATTTGGACCGGTTGAATTTCTCGCTGGGAAAACATTAAGTTTCTTTAATTAACGCGAATGGCGTGATGAAAACAAAAGAAAAGCACGTCGCTCCATTTTTCGTTTGGGTGGATAAAGTTCAGTATTAACAATTACCGCAAATTTACATTTTAATGTGTACCACCAAATCCGAAACTGTCTGTATGTCGAATCTTCCCACAGCGGCGACAATCTTTTCGTACTTTTTCTACATGTTTTATGTATGTCGAATAAATAAAAAAATCAACATTGTATATTTTTTATAAAATACAGATTTTTTCACAAACAATCTGCAATGTTTTAAAATTTCTAATAAATTAAAATTTATGTGCTTGAAACAATAACGATTGTTGAAAGCGGCGTTACTATCATATGCGAATTTTATCAACCGACTTTAAAAAAAGAGGATGTTACACTTTAAATGCACATGTTTCTCAAATTATAAAGTTCTGTTTGGGGATTGCACAGAATAGAACGAATTTAAAGGTTGTAGCATAACTTCAGGTTAGGTATAGCCATAACTATCACATATACAAGTAATTATAGCGTTTATGAAACAAAATGTAAATTGAAGTCCAAATATTTAAGGTAGGGTAATAAATTCTGGATCCTCTTACAAAAGATAAAATTGTTGGCCTTTTCTTAAATTGCTTCCATCTTTGTCATTATCACGCGCCGACAGAGCAATACGATTGTTTCAATTATGATATCAAATGAAATTATAATGTTTATCTCGTGTTCAACTTAGTCTCGTAATGTTTACAATTTTTAAAAATTAGTTTCATTTATAATGTTTGCAATTTGTTTTAAAATTATTATTGAAAGCAGACTGGCATCAAGTTGAGGTAATAAACCTGGCTAATTTCGTTTTGTATTTGTATTTTCCTTAAAAAAATCCTCGTTATCAAGTGACTGAACAACTTGTTAGGCCTTTGGCTAAACGTTTTTACGTGCTGGTAGTCTTGTCTAACCGTGTTTCAGCAATAGCAAAAAATATCGTCTTATTACTTTCCTCCATTACAAATAACGCTATTTGCCTTTATTGTGCGTTATTTTTCTTTCTCAGTCAATGTCAGTTCAGTCAATATCCATGTTGGTTTGGTAATGCGCAGTAAAAGGTTTATATAGAGACAGAAAACTGCTGTAAACGACGTAAACATTGTACTGTAGTTTGTGCCAGCTTTGGGAATCGATGTGAATACAAATAAGCATATTGATTGTAACTTAAAATAAACTCAGCAAAATTACAAACACGTTATCGAGCAATGTACGCACTTCAAAATGATTTATGCACTGTCGTTCGATGAGATCATAAGCGATCACGTGAAATATTTGCACATTCCTCTTCATTAAAAAAACGCAATCGTAAAATAATCACTCCATCAATTTGGGAAGCGAATTTGTATTACAATAAAATCAACTTTTAATAAAATTCTATTAAAATGTCATTTTTTCTCGCCGGTTGTTATTCAGAAAAAAACACCTTTGGTCACTCTTCCGAAATTTCATCCTTATAAAAGTATTATACCTATCTCATAAGAATATTATAAACAGATTATATTTCATTTAAGACGGAGGTAGTGAAATTTAAAATACCTAAAGAAATTCGTATCATCGTATGATCGGATATTTTCGCGACAAACTGGGTCGAAAGTAAAAATCGACGAGTATTCTTAGAGCGGTTTGAGGGTAACTACTTCAAACGAGATACGGGCTTTAATTCCGTCGACCGCTGGTTGGTAAAAAATGGGAAACATCGAATGACGTAAACAAATTGATCGAATTAAAAAAATAAAAAATCCACCTTCGTAATACAATTTGGAAAAAGGCAATATGCCGTATGAAGGAACATTTTCTAATTTCTATTGTTACTTTCGTCAATATTTTACCTGGTTGTCACCATATTGGAAAATCCTTACTAATATTATAAATGGATGAATGTTTGTTACTCTTTCACTCAAATATTAAAATTTACAATAATATAGCTTATACATCAGAATAACACATAGGCTTTAATTTATATACATATTTTTATGTATATCTGTCTTTCTGTCTGAATGTTACTCCTTCAGCCTATTCTACGCTGACGTAGTCGCGAGCAGCAGCTAGTTATTTAATAAACTTTTAATTCTTCTGTGTGTACGAGGTACTGAAGATGAACGAACTTGTCTCAATATAGTCAAATACTGTTTTGAAAATCTGACGTGATTAATATAAATTTGAATCCTTTGAACATATTTTTTTTAGTGCTAATCTCTCTGCACTTAAGATTTAACATTAAAAGTGGGTTCGATTCCCACAGCGGCGACAATCAAAAATTTTAATGTTTTATCTTAAATGCAGAGATTAGCACTATAAAATAATAATGGTAATAATTTCTAACAAGCAATGGCGACATGTCTCGTTCGAATTATCGTAAAACGATATTCGATATTGTTTGAATGCTGGAAAGGATATGACACCATTGTCATATTCTTTCTAGCATCCATATGCGCTAAGCATTGCTTCAAATGCTAAAAAACAATGTAGATAAAAAACGTTAAGATTTTCGTCGGTGTGGCAATCAGCCATTTAGCTTAGTGGCTAAAGCATCAGGCGACGATTCCCACAGTGGCGACAGTCATTTCGTACTTTCTCTAAAAATTTAAATCTTCTGAACAATGAGTAACCAATTCAAAAGAAAATGTTTTTTAAAAATATTTGTAAATGATAGTTCTTTAACAAAAAGTGACATATAAATGTTATGACAGGGCGACAGAAGGCGGCTTGGCTCCCAGCAGCGATGACATGCCCGTGGGTGGACCCAAGACGCCCCAGCAAATCGCGGCGCAGCGCCGCCTACAACAGACCCAGGCTCAAGTCGACGAGGTACTCCTACGCTCTTTAAAAAGCATTAGCATTAAAAAAAGCTATATAATACTTCAATGTATTGAGAGGGGGAGGGGGGTAGTTACGAATTTATATATAAGGAATTATTAGAGAGATACCTACGGAGTTTCTTCCACCTGTTCCTTCTCCGTAAAAGAACCTCATACGAAACGGTGATAGATTTAAAGATAGCTATCGATAGATGAAATGTGTATTTATTGTCGATGAATAAATACTGATTTTGATCTTTTTGATTTTTGATTCAATATCAAAATCTAAAGCTAACGATCAGAACTAACTTGTAATCAGTACGAACAATTTTTTTGATTATGATCTTGTTTGTGATAAAATAGAATAGATTTCTTGTGTAGAAAAAAAAATTTTTAAAATCAAAATTAGACGAATATAAGTCCTTCAAGAAGCTTTTAATTGCTTGATAACTACATGAAAACTTCATGGTGTTAAATGAAATTGTTGTACTTTATTTTTAATGCTAGTAAAATTAATGGCCATTAAAATAATATAAAAACATTTCATGTGTTTTTTTGTACTTGTAATGTATTTGAGTACGAAATATTTTTATTTTTAAATTAAGGACATAATTCATAACGATAAAGAAGTTAATTAGACAGAGGTAAAAATAAAAATGATTATTAAAATAATTTTCGATCAAAAGTTTCTTTGATACAGGCTTGCATAATAAGGAACTAGAAGATATTCTTGTTTTAGTATTTAAGGTTCTCTGCAGACAGATCGTACCTTTGGTTATTATATATTTTTGCAGCAATAAATATATTTCTTTTCTTGTCTTTTAAAAAAGAATCGTTTTGTAGGTGGTTGACATTATGAAAACAAATGTCGAGAAAGTGCTGGAGCGAGACCAAAAGCTATCGGAATTGGATGACCGAGCCGGTGAGATAATCTATTTAAACATCAGCTCTAGATCAAAAAACGGTTTGAAAGTCGACATCGGCTTGAGGATAGCAAAGATCCTCGAAAACGTCTTTAATTGACTACAATTACCACACTTCTAACCTCACCTTATATTTGTATAAACTCTAAATAAGCTCGACTATTATTTAGAATTTATTACAAAAAATGTATGAGTTAAACTTACGAATTGTATGAAAAAAAAACTAAAGTAACAGCAGATATATCCTACTGCTGGGCAAAGGCTTCCTTTGTACAGACTTTAGCTGAGTTCTCTTTGCAATCCCAACGCGGGACGGACTTCCCATATCTCCGAAATTGTGTGAAATGTTTTTGTTAATATTTCATTTATATACGTTACATATTATATAGAGTTCCTCATGTTTCCGAACGAAGTTGAGTAGGTCATAAGTTAGCACTTAAGATTTCAATTGACAATTCCATTGGTGCCAGCACCGAGGGGTTTTGAACTCAGGTTGCTCGAGTACATTGAATTAGAAGCAAGCACCCGGTCACTTGTAAGTCATATATAGGCTTTGTTAGTATCCTCGTTTCTATAACTATTACCCACAAGAAGCATAATACCTACAGTTAATAAATTACATTAGAACACTAAAAAACTTTTCGTGAAGAAGTACAGTGTATTATGGTCTATCTTAAAAGAAATAAAATTGCTAATGCATGCGCGCTAATTATTATCTAAATGAATATCTAACTCGAGATACTAAACCATTATTTTTCTATTGGATATCAAAAAACTCTATAAATATTCTGTTAACATTGCAGATGCACTCCAGCAGGGTGCTTCGCAATTTGAACAGCAAGCTGGCAAACTGAAAAGCAAATTTTGGTTGCAAAACTTAAAGGTAACTTTGGGTGAAAGATAAGAAGCTTGCAACAACTTACATTAGAGTTTAAATTGCATCTCAGTGTTCAAAAGTTGTTTTATACTTTTATTCTAATGCAAAACTTCTTTTTAGATGATGATAATCGCTGCTGTTATTGGAATCATCATATTGGCTTTAATCATCGGTAAGTAGAATATAAAACATTGTTTTCTCCCGCGCATCTAGAATGTCGCTCTTATGTTCTTTATAATTGATTGTTTTAGACTAATCATGCCATTATTTTTTCCATATTTTCAGCCAACTTTGTGTGAACAAGTTTCGGTAATCGAAGTTTACTTTAGAAGTTAATTGTTATAACGTTAAAGAATAGTTATATTATGACGTATGTTGTTATTTTTATATTTACTATGTTGGTACTAGCCTTTCTTGGTAAGTGGGCATAACGTGCAATGTCGTTGTAAATGTTGGCTTTGTCTGTTCTTATTTCACTTCGTATGTATTCGTCTCTGTCGAAATGCTGTTTCCGAGTCTTAATCCGCTACTATAAGTTGACTATTGAGTTTAATTTGATCAACATCATCAAATTATTTAGAGACTGAAATAATTGTATAACGGTCATTATTTTAATCATCATATTAATAAGTAAGCATATTTTTTAAGCCTCCTTTGCAAATAAATCATAAACATTAACACCCAGTTTTAACTCAAATAGTTAACTTATAGAAAACTCAAGCTTTATTTTGCAGCGTTGTTTTCTTGTGTCAAAATTGCTCTATACATATAATATTATTGTACAATGTTATATCGATTATAATCGACCCTTATAGTGAAATATATAAATATAACTTAGAAGTTATAAATTGCTTGTAAAAAAATGTTCTCCTATGGTGCGATGCTTATCCTGATCTAAACCCAGTCTAGTCCTGCTTAATTGACTGTCAAAGTTAATTTCACAGTCTGTAAAGATTTTCATGCATTCTACGACAATATGTTTAAAAAAATACTATCAAAAATATATATCAATATATATCAAAAAAAAAAATACTATTAATAATTTACCCGTCTTAGGAAAGAATTTCCCTCGTGATTACTTACTTTAAACGTTTTGGAATATGAGTTAATATACAGCGTGTCGTTACAACCGCGACAATAAATGAACACACATATAGAGGATAACTTTTTAAAATTGTATTCAGCATTTACATTCTTTAAACATCAATATTTACCGAGTTATTTAATTTTACAAAACAAACATTTTTAGAACTACGTATAAAACTGTAACGTAAAGGTCACAAAGCATATGAATGGGTTCAGATAAAACGTAATGTTAGAAGGAGAGACTAATGCGACGTTGTGGCCACGAATGAAAACGTCTCTGAATGTATGAATCATTCAGTTGTTGTTGTATAGGTGTTACAAATTTTGTTTCTTTTTTATTTAATTAGTTTGTTTGAAAAATATTTTTTACGTATGGAATTTTTAAACGTTTTATATGTTTTATCATTATTGTCAAGAAGCGTTAGACGTGTGTTCATTTATTATCGCGGTTGTAACGACACGCTGTATTTACAACCATTTCACTCACATACACTCTCACATTTGCTTTTTCTGTGAAAATATTGTGTGAAAATCTTAAATAAACCTTGGAATACTTACATTCATCAAAGCTTAACAAAAATATGTTACTAACACGATACTACCAATTGTAACACCTGAAATAGCATGTAAGCCGTAAAACTAATTAAATGAGATAATGCACAAATGCTGCAAAACAATTAACATTTACAATATCTTCTAGGTCTGTAAACACCCGAGGAGGATCGGCGCCGCGTACGTACTTTTCTTCTCTTTATTTCATTTATTATTATAATCATATTTTTTATGTTATACATTTATTAATTACGTACCAGGATGAATGTCCCGTTTAAAGATTGGCAACACAGCAACAGACTTTGCGGTAGCATGAATGTGCAGGCTCGTCCGGGTAAGAACCAGGGCCTCACAAAATAACGCCGTGAAGTGAAACTATTACACTTCTACGTTTCGTCTGATGTACTCATCAGTGCAGTAAGGTAAACGCAGCTCACTTTTTTAAAAAGCGACAACGCATCTGCAACCCCACTGGGGTTGCAGCTGCCCAGGGGCAGCGGTAATCACCTTTTAAACATGAAATTGAAATGAACTTAACACATTATTGATTTTTGACAAGATAATGACCATCCTTGCGAGCGAATGGTGTAAATTCACTTATCATATTTTCCTTGACACACCCAAAGAAGTAAGACTTAAAAAAACACTGTTTTCTTGCATTACCATCATACTAGAATAGTTAAAATAAAATTTAAGAAACTATCTTTACAGTATGCTATTTTAGATGACTGCTGATGTACCTACATTATGTTTCAGGCACCATTCAACATCGACATCTTGGTTCCGGCAATATATTCTTTTTTTTTTTACATTAGCGTTACTAAGATGTTCTCAATAAAAATCAATAACAAATTCCAATGTTTCATAAACTTGAAGTCTATATTGAAATTATCTTGTTTAAATATGTGTATATTTATCTAACAAGCATTATTTATTCATAATACAAATCACGCGTCCTAAAACTTCTTTTGTCACTATCATGAAAACTGTAAACGAACTATATAGAATATTTTTAGATGATCTTTCCTTGTTTAAAACTTTACCTTAAAATCAATGTCCTACTTTAACTAAATCATAGTTAAGGCTTACCAATTTTTACCATATCGCAGAGTTGAAATTTGTTTTCTAGTAAGAGATACTTTATTTATATATATATATATATATATATATATATATATTTAAGTTTAAATCTATTTAAAGAAATGTGAAAAAAATATTCATCCGTAATTTACAGCATCGAAATTTTATTCACTAGTCAATACTTTAATTATGCGTAGAACATAAAAAAATTGAAAGCTTATTTCTTCTATTTATTTCCTGACTAGAGAAAGAAAAGACCTGCCTTGGAGGTACCACATTCACTCTCTTTGCTGCTAGCCTAGTAGGAAAACCTAAATTTCATTTTTTTTCTACAACATGAACCTTTTTTATTTTTCTGATCAGGCTACAAGTTCCATTTTAAAATCTACTGTCATTTTTCAGATAATCCATATGAATATCTGTATTACATATTTAATTAATATAGTCTCTGTTTAACGTAATCGTAAACTTTTTGACAAACCTTTAGTGTACAACAGCTACATAATATGTTAGTTACTATTAGTAAACTTTTATGGAATTAAATCTCGAAAATGTCTGCTCGAACCGTGTAAAAACTGTATATTAGCATCAACGTCGTTATTTTTATTACTTAATTTATGCCGAAAGCTTATCTTATAATGAGTGATGGCCCCAATAATAATAAACGTAAAATACTTTTTAACTTCTTTTTGTAAAACAACCTATTTCTTATACACAAAGTCGACCACTGAATGAATGAACACCACATAAGTCAGATGCCATGTGAAAAAGTAATCCCAGAATTAAATAATATTGACACACATTTAAATTGACTTTAATATCGACACTTTTAATATTGACACAAATTTGTATTTGTGTCAATATTAAAAGTGTCGGTCTTTTAATATTGACACAAATTTGTTATTTAAATGTGTGTCAATATTATTTAATCGAATGATTCAACATTTTTTTTTTGTAATTCAGATATTTGAGACCATCGCTCATTACAAAATTAACTTTGATTTTATTGCCATTAAACATTGCTGTAATTTACATCAGATAAATTCAAGTTAATACAAATCCGGTATTTCAAATTGATCTAAATCCCGAGTCTTAATTTGCACATTTGGTAGTAAGTTGCACAAATGGGCAGGCTCGTCCCGGGAAATACCACGGCCTCACAGACTAGCATTTTATGTTTTTGTTCTGGTGAGTGAAGTAAACTGAGCCCATTATTTTAAAAATTGGCAACCCATTTGGTGTTGTGGATGTTCATAGGTGGCTGTAATCACTTAAGATCAGGTAAACCGCCCGCTCGCTTGCCGAGTTTTCACAATTTGTGTAACTTTTTTTCTTCCTTATTTTTTTCTATTGCACTTACATTATATTAAGTAGTGGCTAACGTGCTTAAAACAATATCTATGAACACACCACAGAATGATCTTTGTGTTGTATGTAAAACTATAGTGAAAGATTCACGCTGAGAATTGTATGTACGATAAGTGAATCCGTTGCTTTTTTAATTATACATTATTTTATTAAAGAAAATAACATCCAACAATGGCAACTTTGAATAAGATACATTTAGTTCTTTGTTTAACAAGAAAAGTCAAATTTCATTGTTACAATATTTGCATATTCAAAACTATATTTTAACGATACAAATGGAAAGGATAGTCAAAAAGGAATTAGGGAAATACGCATTCATTCCCCTCCTATCTATTTATTTATACATTGCGTTGAATTGTAAACAATTATAACTTAAATATGTAAGAGCTTAAAAGCTACTTGTTTTAATTTGAAGCACTTTGTTGTTGATAAAAACCCTTTAGGAGTATATAGTTAAATAACATGCATAGATAGTTATATTTCGGCGAAAAACTTCGCAACATATTCTGCCATAATTTTGAAACGCGCGCGTATGTTTTCTCTTTTTAAACTTGGTTGATGATGGCATTTCTAATATTTCATATTTTTAACATAATTATATTTACAAAGCTAAGAAAAGTATTATTATCCTAAATTATTTGATTTGACTGTTTTTATTCTAAGTAATCGCTTGTACCGTGTTTCAAAAATTATGGCTCGAAAATCACTGTAAGGTATGAAACAAATACACCAGAAATGTATGTCAGGTTTAGATTAAGATAAAAGCATTTCAGTTCTAAAGGCATAATGGTGTTAATTGAAAACAATAAATGTTAATTAGTTAATGACTAAGGTTGTAACAGTAATTAGTACGTTTATGTTAGATGATGGTCTCGGTTTTGTATACGCATATTTCTTTTGTTAAATATGGATTTGCAAAAAAAAAATACTGTACACACACAGGGTCTTTGCTATTTTAACATTTACTTTCGTTAACATTATATGTCTTTGAAACAAAATGCACTGAATACTGTTAACCTAATTATAGAGATTGTGCAAAATTCTTACTGCCTATCATTTGAAACTAAGGAAACAATGCAATTTATGCAAAGAAATAAATTAAAGAATATTACGTAAATATTTTGTTAAAAATTTCATTTAATACTGTGTTATATACAATAACGAATTTACATAAATGAATATTTCAAATTATTATTTTTATTTTTTTTAAATCACATTTAATCTCGATAAATAGATTAATATTATTCGAAAATTTAAATACTTATAGATTTAATCAAGTACGAGTTAAAATATATAACGAATCAACTAACCTACATATTTAGTGGGAATATAATTATTCAAAACAAATAGTGTATAAACGATTGTAGCACATGTTTTGCTAGTTTACTAATTTTAGACCTGGTTGTTACATAAATGTGTCATGAAGAGATTTGCTGAATTGAATCTTAGAAACAACATAATTATAAATTAGCATCGTATGAATTTGTTCAAGAGTTACAAAAATCTATTTAAACAATTTGCTTTACTAACTTGTAACGTATTTAGACCAAAGGTTTAATATACTAGTGAATTAAACATATTAAATGTTTATAACGTGTAATTTTATCGAAAAAAGTTTTTTGTAAAGTTATCAGGTTTAAATTATAAAGTTTCAAATTAATTGTGTGTCGAATATGGTTAATTGTTACGATTATAAATAAATAAAACATAATCAGTGTAATCATTATTAAACAAGATCGTAGATACTTTTTGATCCCTAGGGTATATAATTATGTATGTACCTAAACATAATATAAATTATTGCTTCAGTGGAATAAAGCAACTTTAAATACAAACAAATTGTTGTTTCATTGACATTGCTGTACTACGCGAGACCCCCCCCCCCCCCCCCGAACGCCCTTTTACATAGTTATAAGTTTTTAGTGTCTTTTTAGTATCTTTTTGAATGGTCGTTGCCGAATTTTCTATAATGTCAAATTCGTAACGACATACGGTAGGCAATTTATAGATAACTCGATTCATATTTAAACAGGTCTAAATATGACTCCAGTTGTCACAAATTATTTACTTATGTGTGTGCATTGCTAACACCACTTTGAAAAATATATATATCAGAAGTTGATGCCGTTATAGCTCATTGTACGTGAGCTCGCTTTTAATTCGATATACTCGAGTCATCTGAGTTAGATCCCGGTGCGGGTGTCGATGAAATTGTTAATTTTAAGTACTTACTTATCATGTCCTCAGCGGTTAAGGAAAACAACGTGAGGGAAACCTGCATATTTTCGAAATAATAACAAAGATATTACGAAGATGGGAAATAATAACAAAAAATACTACGCAGTGGGATCGCGTGGTGGACAATGACCTCTGTACATAGGACGCCTTTGCCCAGCAATGGGACATTCATAGGCTGTTACTTTATCAAAAGCTTGATAAATATATACCAAAGTCTATTCACAATCGTGTTTTGAAAACTGCTATATTTTTGTATGACATCCTTGCTCCTTATAATGCTTTATTCCTGTTTTCCTGAAAATCACTAAGAAACAGGATAGCAGTTTGATTGATACACGTGACTTACCCATACGTAGAGTCCCAAGAACTTCCAAATACCGGCAGGAGTTGACAAAGAAATGTTATCGAGGATATAACGGCTATTAACGTTGCGTACCAACTGATTACATCGATTTCGGACTAATTTATACTGAGACCAATTTTCATCAGAGCGTAGTTTTTTAAATTTCCTAAAAGCACGGACTCTACGTCTCATAGCAATCTGAAAATCCTTAGTGATCCAAGATGTCGTCGGAATTTAATAATCTAGCTACCAATCAGTATAAAATCTTTTTCATAATTATAATACTTTAAACAAAAATAACCTATAGTAAGGAATTCGTTAAAAATTGTGGTAAAATTGATTGTGGTAAAAAGGCCATTTTGAAAATTATTTGTAACACTATCATTAAAATTTTTATATTGCTAATATCTGTATTGCTAACATACATCTCTATATATATTTCTAATTTGAACGAAAGGTGCCACCATTGCTATTAGGAATTTCAATTGTTGTATGTATGTATTAACTGATGTTTGTGCTTTCAGTCCCGGGAATATTAAAGCTTCATCTGACTCAGAACTGATGGGCTAGCCAGAACCCACGGGTTTGGGCCCTACGCTGTGGGTAGAGCCGCGCATGTGCTCATGCGTGATTTTAACTACGGCATGTCATCTAAGGGCCATCGAGGTTGTGGTGCGGATCGAAATCCCAATGGCCGTCGACTGTGTCTTTAGCTAATCGGTGGCTGGGGGCGGTGAGAACCGCCCTGCAACGCGGGTGTACCTTGTGGGTTTGTTCGGAGGC